GAAAAAACGAAAAAACGGCTTGTTTCTGGTTTCTGCTTGTGTCAATTATTCCCAGAAAACAGACTGATAAAACGTACCTTGTCCGTAAGCATTCATTTGAAATTATATTTCGATGAATGGATACGAATGGACATCCAATATTAACTCTCCTTTCAGCTTGTATCTGACTCTTGACGTTCCACTTTTTTCACTCGCTGGTCGTTAATTTTGCTTTTTTCCTATATATATTCTGACGGGTTTGTTAAATATCATGCATAGCCCAGCTACACAGCGCCATGGACACGCAGGTTGCAGTCGCTTTGGTAAGGACATAAGGTCACAAGGTAGCCACACCCTAAAACATACCTTGCTTACTGTCTATTTAACTCTAAATGGGACCATCATTTATAAAATGAACATCATGCTGTATGGAGAAGACTTGGAACTAGCGATTGAGACCATGAACTAATTAGGAAACAGTTTACTGAGGTAATAAATCAAATGAGAAGAAGGGTCATGTCTTCACAGTCCTGGAGGTTCTGCTCACTGATAATATGCTGTCAGTGCTCATAGCCTGATTTATAAAACACTTTTTTTTTTTGGCTATATGCTGATTTATTGGGCAATAAAAAGAGATTCCCTCTGTACAAACATTTGACTTTATATGTCAACAACACATTTTTAGTAGATAATCAGTGTTAGACAGTAATTATTACTAGTAATAATACAGTAATAATAGTACTTTTGCTGTCACTCACCTAAATCCAACAATCCGATCACATCCCCAGATTCAGTTTTGTAATTGTGCACGTCACCAAGCAGGAAGCTAGCTTGGAAGATGGAAGCGAAAGTTGATGGATTTTAATCGTGGACAGCAGGCAAGTGACAAAGAACTAATGAAGCTTCTGGCTGGATAATGTGGTGGATGAAATTACTCTCTGTGTTTCAGAAAGATCATTGGGAAAATACCGGCCACAGGTAAAACAATAACAGATCTAAATAACAGAAGTTGTTTAAAAGATGAAGAAAATAGCTAGTTGGAAGTTTTAGCTGTGGTAACACAAAGGCACAAATGCAAAGTCTGAAGTTTGGGGGGAAAGGTTACCAATTTTGTGGGGCGTAGCAGAAACGAGTAGTGTAACTAATTACTGTTGGCAAGGAGTAATACGTAAAGTATGAATGCATTCATTTATTTGCAGATTTAAATATACAATTTCTGAAAAACTGTAATGCAAAAAACAATTGTCTTAATGTGAGTAATCAACCAGGGAAGATTCATGGTGATATTTATTAGTTGAAAATGACCCTATTCATCAATAGTGTCTCCCCTTAACCATAGAGGAGATATGAATCTTATGCTAAACTAAATTGCCCGTTAGCTTACATGATGTTTAAAGGTCCAGTGTGTAACATTTAGAGGGATCTATTGGCAAAAATGGAATATAATGTCCATAGATATGTTTTCATTAGTGTTCAATCAGTGTTTTTGTGTTGTATTTTTGTTACCTTACTATGAGATGCTGTGGGTAGCCACCATGTTGAACCGCCATGCTTCTATTGTTGCCCAGAACGGACAAACCAAACTCTGACTGTAGTTAGCCCTTTCTCATTCCCAGGTCGTCAAATACATAAGCAGCGTTTTGTTGCAATCTGGAACGTCACCGCTAGAAGCCACTAAATCCTACACACTGGTCCTTTAACTCAGCCAATGAAATCATTTCTGCCTCCAGCTTTGTCAGGTGTGAATATGTGGCTTTGTGTGATTGATTGGCAGGGGTGTTGCTGACAAAGAGCAGACGGGGTCAATCTTTGTCTCCCACCTTGATAAATGAAAGATTAATCAGCCCTTCCTCCTCGCTGCTTAAGGACGTAATCATTGTGATGGCCGTCCAATTGAAGTCCCCGCTATTTTTCTGCCGCCTCCTCACACTGACTCATCATAATCAACATGTCTTTGACTCATCATATTAACATGGCTAGTTGGCTCACGTCATAGTAATAACACTAAAAGCCAATGATTCAGTGTTGAGTGAGTTTGACAGCCCAGCCACCAACCACGGCATTTTCCTCTTCATCTTTCTATCATTCATTCATTTGCAGCCTTTCTCTCCTCCATTTTTCCTCCCTTCCCAGCATCTCTTTTTCCCGCTTTCTTTCACAATTTATGTTTCTCCCACTTTACACTCTGCAGTTCTCTTCCCCTCCTCCTCAGTCCTTTCTCTACCTCCCACTCTTTTTCATCCTCTTTCACTTCTTCATCTTTCTCTTCCCATCTCACTCTTTCTATCTCTCCCTTCTTCGCTCTTTCTCACTCCTCCCCCTCTCTATATCTCACCAGGCATGCAGCACTACTCACTTTTTGACTCGGGGAAAACAAACTTCTCACATTGTAGCCCACAAAGGCAAACTTTGCCAGTGAAATAAAGTGTAAAAAACACAAAATCCACTTCTTCTTCTTTTGTGTAAAAGTACAGTACAGTAGGTGTGAAGTTCTCCTGGAGTTTCAGCGTCTCTCCTGCTGTCTGCTGTGTTTTGAAGAAAGCAGAATTCACTCTTTATGATATTTCTGAGCGTGAATGTGGGAAGCTGAATCAATAGCGGCCGCTCACTAAAGCTCTGGGCGGCAAAGTAAATGAGTCAAACAACAAAGTGCATCACCGTGGACATCAATCACAACTGGCCTTTGATCAATAAAAATACAAAATCAATGTAACTTTCTGTCACAGTTACACACAAAGCTGAACAGTACTTTTAGTGCAACTGTTGGCGGTTATGATGCTGTATGTTATTTCCATCGATTACATTTTCCATTGCTCTGGTGGGTGAATGCGTCCTTCCATGACCATAATGTCCTTGAGCTAAACACCAGGTGGTGTAAGAGGCTGCCCAGTATGCTAAAAGTTGTTGGTTTGAACTCTGCAGTAAAATATTCTTAACAATAACCCTGCAGCTCCACTGGTGCATGAGTCAAAAAGGACCTTTTCTTCTTTGTCTTTGTTGTTGTGGTCCTGCAGCTCCCTATGAGTGTTTGTGTGTGTGTTTGTTTGTTTATACGCATTTTTGTTACCTATTGGGGACCTTTTGTGGTATAAACACTGACCTTGTCGGGTCCAGTTATCTTCTTCGTCCTAATGCATCAAAATGTAATTTCTGAGGTCCTGGTAAGTGTAAGGGGTTGGGTTAGGCTGTGCACAATAAATGAAGTAAACGGAATGATAGTTGCACAAACTTGAGGGTGAGGAGATTAGCGAGAATCCAATACAGTGGTGCCGGACCAATCGGGCATCCTTTGGAAGACAGCTAGTCGTGGTTTAAGGCATGGTGTGTGTGACGGCATGTGTGAGGAATAACTGTGACAATGGCGGCTTCTAAAGAGGTTAGCAGTGATGCTGCTAGCTTCTGTTATATCAGAACTGGAGAGTATTTCCTCATTGAAAGAAGAGCAAAGAATGGCACTGAAGGCTTTTCTCGATGGAAGTTTTTGGGCTTCTCGAGACTGGCTTTGGTAAGAGTTTGACTACGTTCATTGATTTGAGTGGTTGAATTTCGCCCGCGATATACAGGTTCTGCGTAACAAACCCAAACTGTTTACAATGAGGTTTCAGTCATTTTTGGATCCAAATAGCATGAAATATTATTATTATACCAATTATTGATCCATATTTAAATACCATATGTTGATTTAAAAATAATTTGACTGATGCAGTAATTTTTGTAATTATATCCAGTGTGTTGAATTTAGTGGCAACGCCCTCGCCTCACCGTCCAGTTCCACGCTTGTGAGAAATTACAGTGGCCATGAAACTCACTAAAGGCTATGTTTAAAGCCAGTGTCTGTTCTGGGCTAGTGTAGAAACATGGTGGTTCAGCACGGCGGACTCTGTGGAAAAGTACTCGCTCCCTCGAACGCAACAGTTCTAATTTTAAGTTGTTGTTTATGCACAATTGAAAACTAAATATGAATATTGTATTACATTTCGGCCAATAGCTCCTCCTAAATGTTACACACTGGACCTTTAATGTATGTTATTGTGTCATATTCATATCATTACACACTGTATAATATAGTAATGTGTTGTGACATTCAATATTTTAAGCAGTTGGAATGGAAATTAAATCTCATCTCAACTGATTCCTGGTAAAGGTTTTAATAAATCTTCAACAGCAGCATGTAGAGCAGCTTTTTGGCAGATCTCTAGCATGAATTTAAAGGTTTCTGTAAAAAATGGTTTTTTAGCTTTTGGACATGCATTGTGCTGCCATGCTCCGAATGAGAATGGCAGCTGATTGCAAAAAATGTAAAATATAATGGCCTGAATACAGAGCAGAATCACCAATCTGTCTTCCAGTCTGTCTCTTTCTTTCTCTCCCAGTCATTTCAATTAATTTTGCCATCCTTTCTCCAAAATTACACTCACACATTTCGAATCTCATTTATCTAATCTGATTTAATAATAACACAGATTTCATATTTTTTTTGTGCATTTATACATCATAGTGCCGTCTTTTCAGAGATGCCTCAGTTAAAATCTTCAATAGTGTCTGGGATTCATTCAGATCACTGCTGTCAGCAGTGGTGGATCAAATTCTTTTATTTTCAAATCTTCAGACATTTTGTTATTTGTCTTTTTTTATTGAACTGAGGCTTATCACTTAGTCTAAAATGTGGCCATAACAGATATTTATTTATAATTTGTTTAATTAATCTACATTATTGTGTTCAATTTCAGCATTTCACACCAAAGAAATTTTGGGCCACCCTACTAGGACTGCCCCAGGCAAAATGTTTTGTTATCTTCAAAATATAGGTCTAATCTTTGACAGAATCAAATCACTGGAGTGAGTCTCAGTTCTCTTTTCTGGGAGAAATCTTACATTTCAAAGATACGGAATATCAAGGTGGTTTTGTTTTTCTCTGTTACGTGTGTATGTTTTGCCTCTGCTGTCTTGTGCCCTGTTCTAGGCACCGCCCTCTCCTCCGACTGGTCAGGCACACCTGCAGTAGCTTAGCAATCAGGAGGATTGCTATAAAGCTACCACCAGAAAGAGTTGTGTTGCTGTCGGCTGTAAAGCAGAGCTGTGTGGTGCTCGTCTCTGTGTTA